CTGGCTTTTGCTGGGGGTTCCCTTAAACCCTAAACCCGAAACCCTAAACCCTAAACCCCTAAACCCCTAAACCCCTAAACCCCTAAACCCCTAAACCCTAAACCCTAAACCCTAAACCCTAAACCCTAAAATTCCCTCAAAAACCAAGGCTGGAACCTGGAGAGTACGAAGATCGAGCTGTGCTACGCAGCCAGCTGACCTGAGCCGGGGCCCACGGGGCGCCGTCGCTTTGCAGATCGTTTTAGCCGTTTCTTATGGAGACAGACGGGTGGTTGTCAAAATTATGGTCCCTTTTTGGGTCCTTATTATAAAGGGGACCATAATTTTGACAACTACCCAGATGGGGAAAAATCTGTCTCCTTGTACAAAATACGCACAGTAGGAGTTTTCAGAATGTCTATTGCTCGGCAGTGCCTGGCGCGGGTTCATGATCCGTGGCCGGGCCGCCCGCGCTGCTGTGTGCAGTGCGCTTGCAGCAGCCTGAGCCGGGGCAGCTCAAAAGGCTTTTTAGGGTATAGGTTTAGGGTTTAGGGGTTTAGGGTTTAGGCTTTTACAGATGCTTCGTCAGCAGATCGAACACCCCAGCTTTGCCATGTCTTCAGCCTGGATTCGTTGCTGGAAGCTGGCTTCACCATGCCGGACCAAGTAAGCCTTGATGCAGTGTGTGAGTTTCCGAAAGGGACACCTTATTCTGGGGTCCTTATTTTAAGGATCCTATTATTTAGGGTACTATATTAGGGTCTTCTATTTTCAGAAACCCCCGTCTTGCAGCAGGCATCAAACACTCAGAGTGGCCACAAGCTTTGGGCACATGCTGGCAGCTGAGCAAGGTCATGGCCCTGCAAACCCCAGCTAGCCTAAGCTGAAGTTCGCAAACGAAGTGGTACCCCCTTCCAAAAAATATATACAAAAACTCATATGCGATGGCTGGGCCCGAAGCCCCTGGTAACGAGGACCTGCTCTGGACTCTGAGTGCAGGGGTTGTTGTTACAATTACTGTATTATCAATTATTCAGAATTATTGTTATGCTTGCTTCATATTATTGTTATGCTTGCTATTATTGTTATAATTACTATTACCACTCTTACCACGATTCCTATTACTATCCTCTTTACTGTTACTATTGCTGTTACCGTTATTGCTAGTATTATTCTTGCTGCTTTTTCTTTTTATTACAGTAGTATTCTTTTCATTAATAATATTATTATTATTATTATTTTCCGTCGGGGGACTGCGCAGGAGGCTCTAGCAGCCAAGCAGCGTGGTGGAGAAGCCTATGCTCAGAAGGACCTTCTCCTTCTCCCTTGCCCTCAAGGGACTCATATTTTTAAGGCTCTTGGGCCCAAAGACCCTATTATGTGAGGCTTTTGGGCTATTTTGATGCTAGGGGTCTGGCATTCGAAAACATGGGTTTAGGGTTAGGAGTTGAGGGTTTGCGGCTCGGGGTTTAGGGCTTTGAGTTTAGGGTTTGCGGTCTTAGGGCTTAGGGTTTGGGGTTTTGGGCTTAGGTTTTATAGGGGTTAGGGATACATGGGGGGTTCCGAAAATAGGGGACCCGAGCATCGTACCCTAAATAGTAGGATCCTTATTATAAGGACCCCAAAAGAAGGAACCCCTTAATTTCGGAAACTCTCACATTGCATGTCATTGCGTTGCATCGCGGCGTGATCTCGGCTCTGCCGGCACGGGGCCTCACAGGACTGGACAGCAGCTACCGAGCACTACACTGCTGCGCTGAAGTCGCTTTCTTGGGGGTTTAGGTTTTCGGGCAGTTAAGGGTTTAGGGTTTAGGGTTTAGGGTTTCCGGTGCCAAGTGGATGTTGCAATTTGCATGCGGTGGCCAAGTGACGGGTGCAACAATCAGAGCTCATCACCTGTCCGCAGCTGTTTTGGCTTCCGCATTACCAGGCCAACAGACACACTAAGCAGGCATTTGTACACTTTCTGGTTCTTTGCTTTTTGGGCATACTTGGTTTGCACAGTCACGTGCCATTATGCCGTATTCCTAAGTCGTGATCTCCGACTCATGCACCACTTCAAGCAGAGATTGCAAGATTCACCCTAACTCTGCTGATTCCGTGTGTCAAGCTCTGGAAGAATCGCCGCCTTATCTGTGTCTCGGCTCCTTATTGGACGTGGGGGTGGTTGCAACACTGCCCTTCCAAAGCAAACTCCGCGTTCTGCTTTCCGAGATTCGCGAGATGTTTGCATGGCTTTGCCGCTGCCGAAGGCTGGGCCGGTAGACTGACAATGAGGGGTTTAGGGTTTAGGGTTTAGGGTTCAGGGGTTTAGGGTTTAGGGTTTAGGGTTTAGGGTTTAGGGGTTTAGGGTTTAGGGTTTAGGGTTTAGGGTTTAGGGTTTAGGGTTGTGTACCCATCCAATGCATCAGCCCAGCGCCAAAGCTTCAACAATAGCCTCAGCCGCCGGACAGGAGAGATCTGGATATTGAGCTTGATGTCCCATCTCCCATACCGACATCTCCGACTCTTCCTATCGTCACAGTGGCTCGCACGATGAGTGCTTGTGATTTCGATGTCTGCTAGCATTCCCAAAGACGGAAAATCTTTGCCAGCTAGATACCGTTGTTTGCAAAGCAATGCGAGAATCCGTGTCTCTTTGTATTGTAGCTCTCCTTAAATGCTAAGCCCACGGCCCAATTCTTGCTTTAAACCTCAGCTTTGGTATTACCTGCGGCAGCTGCGTCTTTGACAACGTGTTTGCCACCCTGCAGGCAGAGTTGATGTTCTGATCATTCTACTTGCAGCAAGCTATAATAGGTTTGACAAGTTTAGACTGTAGGGCTTGTTGTAGGGATTGATTTATTGATATTTATTGGGTTGAGCGTTTTCTGGCTGCTATCGAGGCATGGACTAGCTCTGAAAGCCCAGCCAGGGAATGGCAGCCGACAAAGCGTCAAAAAACTGCACCAGAATACCAAAGCCCTAAAATCCCCAAAGCCCCAAAGCGCCAAGCCCTAAACCCAAATCCCTCAACACAAAACCCTAACGTCCCAAAACCCCGAAGCCCGAAACCCTAGCGTCCCAAAACCCCAGGCTGGGACGGTGTTGGCAGAGCCCAACTCCGAACCTCCGACTCTCGTCAGCCGCCGAAGGAACCCGAGGCGCTCCGTTCGAAGTTCCCTTTTTAGGGTTTAGGGTTTAGGGTTCAGGGTTTAGGGTTCAGGGTTTAGGGTTTAGGGTTTAGGGTTTAGGGTTATTGGCCATCCAAGGTCTTGGGGCATTAAAAAGGATTTAGGGTTGAAGGCTTAGGGTATAAGGGTTCAGGGTTTAGAGTTTAGAATACTAGAGAAGCGTAGTGATATACCCGGGAAGCTGCAGCCTAAGATGGCTTATGAGCTGTCGTTGCTTGTGTTTTCCATCCATGGCTGGTTTTGTTGCTTTGACATGCTGCTAGCGACAGAAAGCAGCTCTGCTTCCCAAGTAGATGATCCGAACAGCCACCAGAAGGCGAACCAGGGTCTTCGTGCGGATGCCATCGGGCGAGATTCTGCCTGCAGATGTGGATCTGAACTGGACCATCGCGCAAGCATCCGACTACATCATTGCGGCTTGGTCGAACTTGCTGGGTTGTCATCCTGGTTTGCCAGCACGTTCAGCAGCGGAAGGCAGTGATCAAAGTCTAAAGCCAAGATGTGACCTTGCTAGCAGACGCTGGTTGCGAAGAAAATTTTCCGAATCAGCAAGCATGAATCAATGTCGAAAGGAACTCCTCTCCAGAAATCCGGGAATCTGCCCGTGACATGACACACCGATATGCTGATGCAGCTCGAAGCTTGCCTGAGGCGAACTGCAGCAATGCGTGGTTGGAAGGCTTGGGTGGAACCGGTGATGGTTACAGCCTTCGCGCCTCCGCAGACAGCCATCACTTCATATTCACTTCCCTGCTTGCGTCCTTAGGCGAGCACAGATGTAAATAGCCTAAGGATTCAAGCGGAAGATCCTGCGGAAGCAAACAACCTTAAAAGATGCTTGGATGCATTGGCACTGCACAGGAGAGCTACAGAGTGTAGGCCCCTCTTTTAAAGGCCCCTTCTCGAGTTTACTCCTCGGGGGTCTAGCTGTTTACATGGGTAGTTGTCAAAATTATGGTCCCTTTTGAGGTACCCTAAATAATAGGTGCCGTATTTATAATAAGGACCCAAAAAGGGACCATAATTTTGACAACCACCCATATGCATGCTTTCCCAGCTCAGGAGAACGGTGCCGAGATTGGCAGTGTTCTGGGGTTTGTGCCTTCAGATGACGAGCCAAGCCAGGACCTGGGTCCAAGGGTTAACAAAGCCCGACATTGTGACCGGCACAATATGATAATGTGTGTATAACCAGATATGTACACACACACACCCCCTATATTGATGTAGATATGTAGTACTCTGCCCGAAACCCGATTCTAACCATATATGTCCCGAAATAGAAGTAGACCCCCTTCCACCAGCCTGAAGCGCCGAGAAGCCTCCGCCCCCAGAGATCCATCCAGGAGCCGTCGTCCCCTCATTCCAAGAATGAGCTCTCAGAGCAAGAGCTGCAATGATTGCAGCTTTTTGAGGTGCGGAGCTGCTCGGCCCGGACTTCGAATATAGCACTGAATAAGTAGAACTAGAATAGGGTTTGGGGGCACATCTATAACAAGACCTAACATACGTGCCAGCAAGGAGAAGTTTCCTCATCACTGCAGAAGAGCAGGGTATTGAATACAACATCTTTGGCTTAGATGTTCGCTAAGGATGCGCTGCTTGCTTGGCCGATGAGGCCACGACCATTTTCCCTGCTGCTTCGCAGCAGCTTCGCTTTCAGTGCGAATCATAGGATTAGGATGTCTAGTCGAGTCTAGAGTATGTCGATCTTGCGTTTGAGTGCGCTCTGGAACTCTCCAGTAATCGTGCACCCTTCGCAGTCGGCCTGCACTGCCAGGTACTCGTATCCCGTTGTCAGAGAGTGTAGAACACACAAGTATATGTGTTCAATTGTGACATGCTCACACGATCTAGTTGCCTGGCCCCGGCTCTGCAGTTGCAGATGATCGCAATTTTTGGAAATTCGAGTTGCTCTGTTCTAGACAGAGCTGCTTCCATCCTAACGGCGGAAGCCGTGTCACCGCGACGGCAAGACACGCTGAAGGCATGCACCTGCCTAGTAATGACAGGCGCGCTCTCTGTGGGAAAGCGAGGGCGTGCTGTGTCTCAGGTTTTGACACGATGGAGACCAAGACCGGTCCATGTGGGGGTTTCAGAAAATAGGGACCCTAATATAGTACCCTAAATAGTAGGATCCTTATTATAAGGACCCCCAAATAGGATACCCTAGTTTTCGGAAACTCCCATGTACAGTGGGCTTTTCCACATCATGTCAACGTGCGGTTTCAAGTATCGAGTGATCGGAGATTTGCCTGCCGGCACCCGTCCGGTCTCTCAGCGTAGAGTCCCCACTGATGGCCGGGCGAAAACTTGGCGAACACGGGTGTTTTTGTGACGCTTGCTGCCTTTTCGCAGTGCTCCGAAACTAGCCCGTCACAAAAAAATGGTCCAAATATATCCAATGGGGCTTACTTGGCTCTTTGCTTGCAAGTGTGAGGTCTTGTCCTGTCGACTCCGAGTTGGCCCTCATCTGCGTAAACCTCAGGGCTGCCTCGAAACCGGCACTTGCCGAGCTGAGTCTGTACTACACTATATACTATAATGTACTATACTTTAGGGTTTCAGGTTTAGGGTTTACGGTTTAGGGTTTAGGGGTTTAGGGTTTAGGGTATAACGTACTATACTCTACTAACATAATGTACTACGATGTACTACGATGTACTACGATGTACGACAGTACTGGCTCCCATCTGCTCCGACTGCTCCGAGGCCTGAACAACCGTGCTGCATGCTACGCCCAGTTGAAGCGGCCCTTGGCTTAGTTGCGAAGGTTAATTCTTGCTATAATAATTATTATTACTATTATCATTTATGTTATTTGTTTTTGTTTCTTTATATTATTGTTTGATTATTCTTATTTATTGTTATTGTTAATATTAATGTTATTGTTATTATTATTTTTAATATTAATATGATTATTGTGATTATCACTAGTATTGTTATTATTACGACTATTACTATCAGTACATATCAGTACTGTATTATTTTTCATGGTATTATTTTCTGAGTATTATTGTTGTAACATATTATTCAGCCCGAGGCATGAGCTGGTTGTGCAAGACACCTCGGAGGTGGGTCCGGCGTCTGGTGGCAGAAGTGTCACCAGGGAGTTACGCTCTTGCTTGAGTCGTGCCGCAGGTGCTGCAGAAGCAGCCTGCCAACATGAAGGCGCAATGTAAAATTCCCTTTGGGTAGATTCCTTCCTGTCCCTTCAGTTCGCGACGAAAGCTAGCAGGCTGTGATGGACCGTTATCCGAGAAGGTAATGGGGCTTTTCCAGTCTCGTCTTTACAGTAAGCTCATCAAGTGCTGACCAGCCTTGTGCTGATAAAGCCGACGATCACTGAAGTCTCTGAAGCACTCAACACAAAGCCCCGAACTCTTGCTTAAACCCTAAATTCCTCAAGCCCTATGAAGCTCTAAACCGTGCGAGAGCTGTCTTTCCAAGAGCTCACAACAAGTAGTCAGCAATATAACTAACAAGGAATGCGAATGAAATAGCACGAAAACAACAATGCCAGTAACAATCAGAATATCAACCATCATACTAAGAAGCAGTAACATTACTAGCATCAATGGTCATAACATTACTAGTGCTCATGACAATAATAGTAACCACACAGGCACTCCTTCGTCGGATGGTTGCCTTGGATGCCCTGGGAAGGGAAGAAGCGGCTCTCAAGGACGGCCTAGCTTTGAGATCTTCCGTATGCCTATGTCTTTTAGTTGCTCCGTACTTTCCATGCCCTACATATGATGTATTGTTCTGCACTGTGTAGTATGTATTATGCATGTTATATTTCAGATTGAATATATATATATATATATACATACTACATATTAGGTAATATGTTTTTGGTGTTTTGGTTTCGTGCCTAGCATTAGTTCTGAGTCTTCCAGATCAAGCTGCTAGCTAGTTTCCCGCTGTGGTAATGCAGGATGCCAAGGACATCCTGATCTTGGAGCCCAAGAACTCTCATGCAATGCAGGCGGTGCAAGCTTGGTAGCATGGTCGTACCATGCACGCTGTAACAGCTGGAAGGGGCAGGGTAGGTAACTCAGGTGGAAAGCCGGGCACTATGGTTGTAGGCCATGCGTGGCATGTGCAGCTTGCTGCAGAACCCTTCTACACATATCAGAACCCACCACTCTGCATCGACGTTTGTTTCTCGTGTATGGTATGGCCAGAGCACGACACGGGAGCCGCCCGCAGGTTGTTGCTCGCAAGAGAAAGAGCCTCACAAAGAAGGCTGGCGGAACTTGTTTGAACTCGTAGACATAAGCGGACGGGGAGCCGCAGCCACGCTTACAGCAGGCGAACGACGCGCTTCCTCTGTCCACTGGGCAACCCGAAACAACTGTCGCAGTCTTCCTCTTCAGCGAGGTGGATTTGCTCTTTGCATTTCGTGCAGCTTTCCCGATGACAGCGAATTCACACTGACTCCAGGATCGGCCGCTTCAGTGCTATGCCTGCCTGCGATCCTTGCAGAAGCACTTGCACGGCGCTGCATTGCACGCTCTGCTCCGAGACATGCGGGAAGCAGCCCAGCCAGTGCATGTGCGTGTTTCAGCGGGCCGGTCGTGTGAGGTGACGGTGTTTTGGCAAGCAGCTGAGCGCAGCTTGCCTAAAGAAGCCGACCCCAACGGCACTTGACTTGACGATGGCAGTGTTGACATCTTGGGCCTGCAGAGGTGCATGCGTTCATTCCTACCAGCTGCTAGAAGCCCTCCCAGAGCACGGGTCTCAGTTCATCCGGGCCTGCACGGAAAGCCACCGGAAAAGCTGCTCGCATCCAAGGCTCAGAAGCTTGCAGCATGGAGAGATTGTCACGGACATAGTGCCAAGACATCTACAGAGTTTGCTGCTTGTTCATGGTCTGTTCTTTCTGCCTTAAGGCTTTCGTAGCTTCATGAACTGCTCTTGCTGAGGCCTGGCTTGAAGTGTCAAAGGGACAGCTCTACAGCAATTTCTCGAGAACTGCGACTTGGACTGCATCGCTTACCGAAAGCGGAGGTGTAAGTCACTCAGTGTGTAGTCTGTGAGGCCGCTGCATCTGCCTGGCAAAGGTTTTCTCGTGTCTGTCTGTCGTTCGGTCGGATTTCTCCGCGCAAGCTGCAGGTAAGCCGCCTGTCGGCTGATGGGTACAGCTCTCAGTGTCTGTAGTCTCCAATGTAGTTCCTTTTTATTGGTTTAACCAAGTATATATTAAGGATTCTTATAATGAATCCCAAAAAGGAACTACAATGGAGACTACAGGTGTCACGAAAGCCGGTTGCGATGTTGCCTTCTCTTGTCTTTGCTCCAGGATCCGACATTTGCTCCTACTCTCGGATGCAGCCGTGTTCCACAGCAGCACAGAAGCTGGGCGAAATTTGGTGAAGGTCATGATGCACATATGGGTAGTTTTCTAAATAAGGGTCCCTTTTTAGGTCCCCAATATACTCCATGGTTGGTGTCGGAGATCTGCATGACGACCTGGCTGGGGTGCTTTGGGCAATTGTCACGAGGATGTTGCGGCGGCTTCAGCCGTGGCCTCGAAGTTGCGCGAACATCAATCTTCTTAAACCTCCAACTTAGCCGCTCTAGCCCTTGCACTTACCTTTCAGGCCTTGCTGAGCGAAAGGTCCGAAACTTTTGCAGTGCGCTTGGACTTGCCTCGGCCTGAGATGCTTGAACTACTGTGGGTGCAGTCAGGATCCTCAAACCCAATTATCTTGGTCATTCCGCTTGCACACTCCTAGCCAGGAATCCTCGCATCGAGTACTTCTCGGAAGCAGAGCTGTATGCGTTATGCTCAGTCACGTGATTCGTGAAGCCTGGCAGCTAGGCAGGCGCAGGCCACAGGGTGTGACACATCCGTTTGTCAAACTGCCTGAGGCGTCTGCGCCCCGATCGAAGCCATTTGCGAACGATCCAAGACTGATGCGAGGTTCTCAGACGACAGACTCCTAGCCATGTGAGCATGTCTCAAGATGCGAGACGCTAATGTTGACCAAGTTCTCAGCAGGGTCTGCATGCAAACCATGGGATCTGCAGAACCGATCAACATCCAAAATCCTGCAGGCCGAGAAGAAGGCTTGAGCACCACACCGCAAAACCCAAACCGTGATCTTAAGCATTTATCCCCTCTACACCTTAAACCCTGCGAGCCCGGATCACCGCAAACCGCTTTGACTGCTCAGGGTGTGGACTCGATCTTTTGATTCCTCGAAGATGGCCTACGAAGCAGCAGGAGCCTCAGCTTCCGAGGAAAAAAGCCGAACGACTCATGTGAATGATCGTGTATGCGCATTCGCCCGTGTGTGCGTGTGTGTGCTTATGTATGTGACAGTACTGTAAGACTTTATGCACACATGTGTACACATATACCAAAAACAAGCACAGGGTAACGTCAGTAAAGGGACATATTCTTGCATGCAGTGCATATGTGTATACACAAGAAATAATCAAGTAAATGCATGAGCACATCAGTCTGTGTTTGTTTTAATATATAAATGTATGCATGTATATCTGCGTATATGATATAGGTGTATATGTTTATATGTGAAATGTTGTACAGGTGTATGCGTGTATATGTGTACATGTATATATGTTATATATGTATCTGTGTACATGTGTGCACGTGTACATGTGTACATGTGTACATGTGTGCAGTGTGTGTGTATGTACGTGTATGTACATGTGGCTTTGTACATATACGTATATGTATATGCATGTGTGTATATGTATGTGTGCATGTATGTGTGCATGCAGGTATGTGTGTATGAATGAATGTATGTATGTATGTATGTATGTATGGATGCATGGATGTATGCATGTATGTATGTATGTATGGATGCATGGATGAGTCATGGATGTGTGTATGTAACGTATGTGTATATGTATATATACACACGCACACACACACACATGCATGCACAGGGGCACACACTGGCATAATATTTGCATACACACACATGCATATCTATGCATGGACATCCATACACAAGCACACGTACACATACCAAACCAACAAACACGCAACACAAACAAACAATCAATCAGTCAAACAACGAAACAAACAAATAAGCCAATACTTAAACAAACAAGCAATCAAACACGCTAGCAAACAAACAAACAAGCAAATGCACAAAGAAGCAAATAAGCAATTATGCAAGCAAACAAACACATAAAAACCCACACATACAAAAGACACACAAACAAATAAGCAACCATAGATACATACGTGCATGCATACATGCCTGCATACATACATGCATACGTACATACATATGTAGATACACACGCACACACAGACACAGACACACAGACACACACACACACAGAGACACACACACACAGACACACACACACACACAGAGAGACACACACACACACAGACACACACACACACACAGAGAGACACGCACACAGAGAGAGAGACACACACACACACACAGAGACACACACACACAGAGACACACACACACACACCCAC